CTATGAAATGTAACCTCTACAGCTATATACAGAACTGTCTGGCATCTATTGTGTGACAGAAGAGTTATTCAATTGATGTCATCTAATAGTGACAGGGCTGATAAATTGCCACTCCTAGTATTAAGCAAAGATCAGAGTTACAGTTAGGTTTTTTCCCCCTAGCCACACTGTCAGAGGCCGTTTTGGTCTACCCATAGACTAAATGAATTTGGTAGAACAAGTTGCCTTAAATCTTTTCTGGATAGGTAAAGGTGGTCTGTATAAATAAATAAATAAAACAAATGTAGAACATTAAAATTGTTAAATAATAAAAAATATTCTAAAATTGAAGTACATTGCTAAAGTATATGGATACAGTAGTTTTAACTTTTTTACGTTTAGTTGCTGAAAATAGTCCTTTAGAGTGTCTTATATGGAGCACCAAAACGAGTTCTAATAGTTAACTACCCAAACCTCAAGTTACTATTGAGACCCAGAGAGATGGGGATTTACCAGAGGCCAGGAAAGCCTGTTAGTGGCAGAGCCTGGACTGGAACCATTTCCTTTTACCCCAGTCTTTTATTCATAGTCTTTTGATTCACTTATACTATATATTATGCCACAAACAATAACAGGTCTGTTATCATTTTTGTAGTTTCATTCAGTCAGTATTTTACATTGGTTTATCCAAATATTTAGTATTTTTCTTGATCCATTTTTTTCCTGCATTTTTGACCTTGCATCTAAGAATTTTCCTTCCATCTGAGGAATATTCATTTAGGGTTTTCTTTAATGCAGGTTTTCTGGGGGCGTTAACTTCTGTTTTAATTTGCCTGAAAATGCCTGTATTTAATCTTTCTTGACTGAAATTTTTTCTGGGTATAGAATTCTAAATTAGTTATGTTCTTTCAGCACTGTCTTCTGGTTCCTATTGTGTCTGTTGAAACGACAGCCGTGTTTCTAATTGCTGCACCTTTGAGTATTTTGAATGGAGTCACTCTTCTCCCACCCATCATAACTTTTGACATTTTTTTTTTTTGTCTTAGGTTTTCTGTAATTTTACTATTATATGTCTTGGTTGTTGATTTCTATTGCTTCTTGCTTGAGACTCATTGGACTTCTTGAATTTGTGGTTTGGTCTTAGTTTTAGATTGTTTTAGCCATTATTTCTTCAAATGTAATTTCTGTTTTTCTCCTTTTTTCCAAATTTATTTGTTAGGCCTTCTCAAGTATGCTCTGTATCTTTCCCTCCTTTTCATATTCTCAATCTTTCCATACCACTGTGCTTTTTCTGGATGTTTTCTTCTGACTTATTTTCAAATAATCTTTATAGCTGTTATCCATCTGTTAAGTTCTTAGTTTTTAGTATTGCATCTTTTAATTCTCATTTCTTATATTTTCCGGTTCTTTACAGATATTCTGAAACTTGTCTTTTATCTCCTTGGACAAGTAAGCATAGTTAAAGTCTATGTTAAGTTCAATATCTGCAATCTCTGTAGGTCTGTTTATTTTGTTCTGTTGGTTCTCACTCATGTAATCATCTTTGTGTGCCTGGTTTATTTTTATTGGTGTGCCAGACATTATATTTGTAAAATTGTTTGTAGAAATATATGAGGTTTAGGATGTTGATATCCTCCATATAGAATTTGCATTTGTTTCTGCCAGGTGTCTTGGGGTGCTGGCAGTCCAAGACCACCTAAATTTACTTTCAGAGATTGAAATAATGTAAGGCAGAATTTAGTTTGTGCAAAATTTGATCTGTCTACATCCAGTTTATTCTTACTCTCTTAAGAGTAAGTCCTAATCCCAAGTTTGGAGATCTGTATCCTGGAAGACCCTTGGAATCCTAATTTTTATTCCCCGAGCACTGTGTGTTTGTCTAAAACATCTCCCAGTTTCTCAGCTACTCTTCTAGAATTGCCAAATTCCCTCAGAGGTAAAAGCAATCCCAGTTTGGGGAGGTGAGATGGCAGAGCTACTCTGTATATTTTTTGTCTTCTGAATCTTGGCCAATAATTTTTCACTAGTTGTTGGGCCTTCTGTATTTGAGGCATTTTTTTAAAAAACCATGTTTTGTCCAGCTTTTCTCTTCCTCAGCAAGAGGGTTGACCTGAATTACCTAGTTTACTGTTTTTTAAGGGATTTTCTCAAAAGCGGAATTTAGAATTTATAGAATTAAAAATGGTTCTGTTTCATTTCCTCTTTTCTTGGTTTTCTTATTGAGTTCTGGATCAGTAGGAGTTTGGTGTTCTGTCAAGTTAATGGAGATGATGAAATTACCATTTTCAGTCCTTCATTCTTTCCTTTTAATTTTCAAAGCTGTAAACATTTGTCTGGGATAGTTTTGTGACTTTGGAATGAATGAAACAACTTTTTAATACCGTTTTGTTGTTGTTTGTTTTTGCGTTTATTCCACCTTTTTTTGTGCTCGTCTACCGCTCAATAAACCATCTGTAAGGATTTCTATATTGGCCTTTTGCAGTAGGTACGAAATAGGTCTGAAATAAATGGGGCTCTTAAATAAATTATTGGGCAAATGAATTAAACTTTTAAAATATATTTTATTCTTTCATTTACTTTCATAGGCAGTTTAATAGTTGCATTTAATTGTCATGTGTGTGTTATCCTTAGTGTAAAATTTGCCAGAACTCCCAAACTCTTATACTGTGAGAGCAGGTGTGTGGATTCAGAGTTTTTATGAAGTCAAGAACTGTGTGTATGTTAACACATTTCCTAGGCTACTTTAAGATAAGGGGTGAGTCTTTAGTGACTGGACAAAGAGAGGTAATATTTAACAGAAAATATCGCAGTTCTGGGACTTGATAATGAGCATATTGAGTTTCCATGACCCTGCCTTTATTAAACTTTGCTTCCTGTTCTCAGCACTTTGCACATGTCCCTAAAGCATTTATATTATCTTGACACTTTCCTTAAGAGGAACATAACTCTTTCAGAATATTTCTACATATATTTTAGGTATTTTTTAATTGTGGACTATAAAAATTCATAAATAAATTCGGCAAAGAGAAACTAAATCCCACAGTATACCAAGAACAAAAATAATTGAAAGAAAATGTCTGCTAATGTACGTGTCTGTATAAAGTGTCATGTTTTAAGGTGTTGTTAAGTAAAGGATTCCCAAAATCAGATCAAAGTTGATATGATTTGGATAATGTATAAGGTTTAATATGATAACCATTTGATATAAACCTACTAAGTTACTAGAAGAAAAATATCTAAATAGAGTTTATATTAATTTTGTAAAGGATAATGTAGTTATTTGGAACAGAAGAATTTGATTTAACAAAGGGTTTCATTTAGTGTCTACTTTGTTTTTTTTTTCCTTTTTGTCTTTTTTCGTGTCTGGCAACGGATCACAACCCTCAGTGTCGCACCCGCACCGGACCGGGACCGGCAACAGGATCGCAACCCTCGGTG